AGAACCAGGGATAAGAGAGTTATAATCCAAACAAGGAGCGAATCTATTATACTTATTGTGTTATCTGTGTTTATTGTGTTACAAACTGAATTTCTGAACCAAACCCCCCATTTCGTGTGTTTAAGCCTTTAACAGTAAAAGACGGTCCTTGGGAGACGACCTAGGTGTCACTTCCTAGTACTAAACTTAATTGTATTTATTTGACCGGATACGGCGTCGATCAGCATCCATACTTGCATGGATGTGAGATGATGAATAAGGAAGGACACTTTTTCTTCAAGGATCAAGTTCTTCAAGGTGGCGCAAGGTTTTAGGAAGGATGATGATGGAAGGGAAAGATTTGATAAAAGGTGTTTGATGAAAGGCTTGAGAAGGGTACTCTAGGGTTGGCTCACTTCATGATGATGAAGGCCACTTCTAGGGTTGTTACTCTCAAGGTGGAGATGGGAAGGAGGTGGTCTAAAATAGCCAAGGGGATTAAGGAAAATATTAAGGCACAAAAGGCTCTCTCAATATTATAATTTACAAGGTTGCTAGCCTAGGGTATTTATAGAAGGGAGGATGCATTTAGGGTTACATTTGAGAGTGCTTCGGTGAAAATGCAAGCCAAATGCACTTCAAATGAAACCTAAATTAACCCTAGATGCTACTTGGTGGCCAAGGATGGAATCTTTGAGTTTGGTTAAGCTACATCTAGGTGCATGATAAGACCATGCAACCTAGGTGCCCTCCACTTGGGCCTAAACCTTGCCAAGTCCAAAAATAAATCCAAGGCTACCAAAAAACACGTCTAGGCCTTATTTTCTCACCCTAATAAAATACCCTAGCTATAAAATAAAATCCTACAATCTAAGGCACCCCATGATACAAGGGTAAAATGGGATATACAAGTAAAAATAAATCCTATAACTAAGACACCCCAAAATACAAGGGTAAAATAAGAAATACAGGATAAATAAATCCTATGTCTAAGGTACCCAAAATACAAGGGTAAAATAGGAAATTAAAGACAAGGGTAAAATAGAAATAAATCCTATACTAATAAAAAACGTAGGAGCTATAGCCCAAAAGTAGGCTCACTCCTCTTATGGTTTTCAAAAC